TGAGCTTGGCCTGGCTCCCAGGGCTGAGGAGGTGTGACCTGGCCTCCAGAGCTGGACACTCTTGCCATAGAAGACTGAAGAAGGATGAGCTTCACATTCACTCTGGGGCTCAGCTCTCTCTCCTGCTGCTCCCAACAAGATGAGTCCAGCTGCACATACCTCACTGTCCCTGGGAGTCCCTGTGGGGGACTCAACTTGTCCTGAAATCCTCTGGGTCTGTGGAAGGAGTGCTAGGACTGAAAAGGAGTGAATTATATTCCAGATTTGAATAATTATGTGAACACAAACCCTAATGTTATGATTAACTCTAAAGCAGTAAAATTGATGAGCATTACACAAGAAAGTCTGGAGGATACACCACAGCTGTGGGGCCAGCAGCTACGCTCTTGCACCCAAGAGAAAGAGGTCATGGGTAAGGGCATTGGACCACTTCCAAGTACCCAGGATGACCCAGGAAGGAAGTAGACCCTTCCCAACATGGACAAGTGATGGAAGTCCCTACTGGCTCTGGCTTGGGGAACCTGTTACTTCCTCATTCTGATGTATTCATATGGATGGGGTCATGTGTCTCCTATGTCTGGCCTCCACTTGAATGTGGAAGCTGGTATTTCCTGCTCACTTCCCTGGAAGTTTTAGAAATAGCAACAGCAAATTCATTCAGGAATATTGATGAGGATGGCGACTATGGCCACAGGACCAAGGAGAGGTCTTGACTCTGACTCTAATGGCCCCTGGGGCCTGGATTCACCTAGATGTGTCCTGATTGCCCTGGTGAGGGCTTCCACAGCAGAGAGCTCTTGGATGTGCTAGTCATGGTGGTGGCTGTTTTCTGGATCAGAGTTCAGCAGGACAGTGATGGAGGACATCTGATTCACCCTCTCAGAAGCTCCTGGCAAAGTCTCATCACACTCCCTCCCTGGATGTCCATTAGGACTACCCTCTGAACCTCCTAAGACTGCTGTGGACAATTCAGGTGAAGGGTCACCTGGAGTCTCAGGCAGGACCTGGGCAGTCAGGCTCCTGTTCTCAGGTTCTGGTCTGTGGTGGACAGACTTTGGTTAGGACAGGGCTTACTGAGTGGGCTGGTCAGAGGTCCCCTGCCACTCACTAGTACTCAGCTGCTGTGGTGACCCAGCCTGGCTGTCTGTTACCCTGCAGGAACCTCACCTGATCCTCAGCCCCACACCTTCCATTTTCAAGGAGCAAAACAGTCAGAGGACCAGTACTGAATCTCAGGGACTCCTTGACATCCAGGAGGAATATGAGCCTGAGATTCACCAGGTGTCCAGGGTACCAACCCAAACTGACTTCCTTTTGCTCTACAGAGAACCTCAATGATGACCCTAATCAGAAATCTCATTGTAGACTGTCCCCTTAGACGATGTAAAAGACTCACCAGGGTCCTGTGAGCTTCCTCACCTCTGTCCCTGGTGACCACAGAACAGTCACTTCAGCCTCAATAAAGCTGCTCTGCATGTTGTTCATGTGAAAATGCTCCTGTGTCAAAGTGTGCATTGCAGGGACCCTGGGGAATCAAAGTGGGAGAGTGGACAGTGTTGTTCTGTCCTGAGCTGAGAGGAATTGTTATCTCCATTCAGGATGGTGGTGGCCTTGGGTTTGTCACTTGTAGTCTTTTTGAGGTTTAGGTCAGGTTCCCATGCCCCTTGATTCTCCAGTCCTTACACATGATTGAGTGCTGGACTTGGTCCAATGCTTTTTCTGCATCCTTTGATGTGAGGGTGTGATCCTTGTCCTCAACTCTATTTATGTGGTGAGTCACATATGAAAATTACATTATTGGTCTCCCAACCCTGTGAGGAAACCCACTTGATCATGGTACACTACCTTCTTATCTGCCCTTGAATGCGTGTGCCAAAGTTTTATTAAGGAATCTTCATTATATAGTGGTCCCAAGGGATGTTGGTCTGAAGCCTTCTTTCCAGTATGTGTGTGTGTTACGTTTTGGTATCAGTGTGTTACTGCCTTTTTAGAATAATTTGTTTCAATGTTTTCTCCTTTTCAACTACATAATTTGAGGAGGTTGGCCTTACCTCTTCTTTAAAGTTCTCTTTGAATCAGTTGACAATCAACCTGTTTCTGGGTGATCTTATGAAGGAAGAGTGAACCTGGGTATGACAACATCTGAACTCAAATTACTTGACAGACCTACTGGGCTTTTCTCTCTTGGAAAGACTTTAATGGATTTTCAAATTTATTGCTTGATATTTTTTCTGACTTTGTTTTTCATGTTTTTGTGCTTCAATTTGTGTATGTCACGTGTGTTTAGAATTTTCCTCCATCTTTTCAAGTTTCTCTAGTGTACTGGAGAATATTTTTCAAAATTGTTTCAAATAATCTTCTGGATTTTAGAGTAGCAATGTGTTCTATTTCATCACTAATTCTGTTTATTTGGATCTTCTGATTTTTATTTTGTTTAGTTCATCAAGGGTTTTTCAATCTTCTTCATGTTTTCTAGGAACAATATCTTTGTTTCTTTGATTGTTTGTATTGTGAACATACTTTCTAAAAACTCTTAACCAGAGTAATTAAGCAAGGCAAGAAAATTAAAGGGTTAAAGAAGAAAAAAGGACAAAAGTTTGAATATGCTGCTTGCTGGTGATGTGATCCACTCTCTAGAAGAACCAATGTCTCCATAAAAATGCTTCCAGATCTGGTAACCAACTTTGGCAATGTAGCTAAATACATCATACACACATAAATAAACCACTTTCTTATTCTACTAAAATAGGTCTACTGGGGCTGGAGTTGTAGCTGAGTGGTTGAGCACTTGCCTAGCATGCATGAGGCACTAGGTTCAATCCTCAGCACCACCTAAAAATAAATAAGTAAAATAAGGGTATTGTGTCAATCTACAACTTAAAATAAATTAAAATATGTCTCCTGATAAAGAAATCAAGAAAATGATATCTTTTTAAATAACTTTAAAATGTAATTGTAAAAAATGCAACCAAGGAGGTGAAAAAATCTCTGCAGTGGAAACAGCAAACACCACAGGGAGAAATTGTAGAACTCTGATATGGGAAGACCCACCATGTGCTTGGACAGTCAGAGTGAACATTATCAAGTGTCCAAACTAACCCAAGTGTCACACAGATTCATTGACATCTCCAAATAATACCAAATACATTCTTAAAAATAATAGAAAAAAGAGTCCTAATATTTGGGTGGAGAAATTACAACAGCCAAAGTGATCTTAAGAAGGAAGAGTGAACCTGGATATGACAACATCTGACCTCAGATTACTTGACAGACCTACTGTATCAAATACAGGATGGTATTGTCACCAAAGCAGACATGAATACCAGTGGGATAGAGGAGAAGATACATAGACAAACCAACATAAGTGCAATTTTTTTGACACTTGGCAATGTTTTAAAGTTGTGCTTCAATTTCTGTAAGTCAAATGTGTTTAGAATTTTAAACAGATAGAGCTGGGAAAACTGAATATCAATTTGTGAAAGTATATAATAGGTAACTGTCTGTCACCCCCACAAAAGTCAACTCAAAGTTGATTAGAAACCAAAGAATTAGACTAGAAAGTCTGCAAGATCTAGAATCCGATATTGCACCAACCCTCCTCTGCACTGACACAGGCACCAACTTCCTTTACCAGGTTACTAAAGTGCAAGGATCAAAACCAGGAATCAATAAGTGGGACAGTATCAAGTTAAAATCATCAGCACAGCAATGGAAACAGGAGTGTGAAAGAGGGCTTTCAGAATGGAAGATCTTTGCAACCTGCTCCCCAGTTAGGGCACTAATATCCAGTATACATAAAGAACCCGAAGCACTTTATGATGAGACACAAATAACCTAATAAATAAGTGGAACAGAACTGAGTAGACTACTCAGAATAGGAAATAATAGTGGCCAACAAATATAGGAAATCATGCTCAATAATCTTAGCAATCAGGAAATGCAAATCAAATTACATTAAAAATCCATCTCACACCAATTAGAAGGGAATCATCAAGGACACAAATAATAACAAATGTTGGCAAAGATGTGGGAAAGAGATCCACAGATTTAATGTTGTTGGGACTTTGAATTAGTGCTGCAAATCTAGAAATCAGAATGGACATTTCAGGAAAGACCAGGAATGGAGACACATTATGTCCCAGCTCTCCTCTCCTCAGTGTTTGTCCAGAAGAAATAAATCCAGCACAGCTCAGCTGTACAGCCACATCAGTGCTTATCCCAGAGTGTCTGAAAACAGCTATATACGTAATATTCCAGAAGCCCATCACAGATGAATGGATAAAGAGAAGGTGGTGGGTACACAGAAGAGGGTTTCACTCAGCCACAGGAAGAGAGAAATTAGAGCATTTTCTGGTCATTGGGAGGAACTGGAGAATATCATGTTTATTAAGTCCAGATTCAGAGGGTGAAATGTCAACTATTTACTTGAAATGCAAATTCCAGACCAAAAAAGAAAAAAAAAATCTTAGGAGGAATCCCAAGGAAACAGAAGAGGGAGGAGGGAGGAGAGGAAGGGGATCAAGGGAGAAGAAAGAGGGACAGAGATGGGAGGGGAGGTGGAAGGAAATTGACCAACCACCTGTGCACCTGCTTGAGGACACCACAAGTGGATTTCCCCTTATGTGCTCTAAGAAGCACTAATGTAAACAGATAACTAAAAAGATGTGTTAGGAAAAGGAAGAGGAAGAGGGTAAGGAGGGATGGGTAAAGAGGAGGGGAGGAAAAGAGGAATGTTAGGTTGTGAAGGGAAAGAAATTTTATTTCATAATGTTTAAATTATGGCAAATTGAAATGCAATATTACTTATAATATTGATGTGCTAATAAAAATGGAAGTAATAATTAAAAATCCAAAGGTTTATTTTCAGAGATGTCAAAGATAAGTACAGAAAATATTGTACATAGAGCTCCCCTGGGAAGCTGGTACATGAGAGGCCCCAGATGCGGGAATCCAGCTCCACCCCCTCTGCACCTGCTCCTGGCTGACCTGAGCTCCCTGTGTGCTGAGCACCCACTACTGGCCCTGGGCATGCTGCAAAAAGGTTTGTGTCAGGCCTCACACTGAGGTCCCTTCAATCTGTCTCTGGCACAGTAATAGGTTGCTGTGTACTCTACTCTCAGACTGCTCATTTGCAGGTACAGCATGTTCTTGGAGTTATCAGTGGAGATGACCTTCACAGAGTCTGGGTAGTACATGCTACCACTACCTGGGTAAATTTGCCCAACCCACTCCAGCCCCTCCCCAGGAGCCTGGTGGATCCAGTTCATCCCATAGCTACTGAAGGTGAATCCAGAGACTGCATAGGAGACTTGCAGGGAACCCACAGGCTGCACCAGGCCTCCCCCAGACTCCACCAGCTGCACCTCACACTGGACACCTGCAAACACAGAGGCAGCCTGGTCAGGACACTGGCACTCATCCACTCTTCCTCTCACTCCTGTCCACTCACACACTCAGGATCTCTGGTTCTCCATTCATTACCTTTGAAAACAGCCACCAGGAAAACCCAGCTGAGCACACTCTCCATGGTGAGCAGCTGTGTTCAGTCCTGGTCACTGAGTGGGCTGAGCTGGGAGTCCAGGGCTGGGCTCCTGTGCAGAGCTGCAGGGTCAGGTGGGCTGGTTTTCATGAGCAGAGGGAGGCCCTATTTGCATATCCTCCTGCTATATAGCAGCTCTGGTTGGAGGCCTCAGAGTTGACAATACTCAGAGCAAACTTGAGCAAGTAGTAGATGGTTGGTGATGTTTTATTCATGAAAGATTAACTCATAATATTAAATGTGTTGTTCACTCTCTCCAGGAAGATGTAAGTGACAAACTAGTCCAGCATCTAGGCATGTGCTTCTCCCCTCAATCCCTCTGCTCCATGAAGCATCTCATGTACAGTACAGGGCAGAGCTTGTGGGGTTTCTGGAGCCCCTTCTTGGATGAAGAACAGGGTGTGGGTTTGTGGCACCGGTGTACATCTAAGGACTATGAAGATCCTGGTGGATGACAGTCCATCTTCAGAATTCTGGGCCACTGTCAGCTCACTGGGCCTGCCTCTGGCTTCCCACTGCCCTCTGCACCTTTGGCTGACTTGAAGCAGCTGTATTGATACATAAGAGTGTGAGCACAGCTGTGCCATCGTCCCCACCAGGGCAGCAGTGAGTGCAGGGTGGAGCACCGGTCCCTGGAACCTTGTCCTCTCAGGCTCAGTCTGTGATGGTGCAGATGAGGAAAGTCCTTCAGCTGGGACCACAGATATGGAGGGCTCAGCTTGTCCACCTCTCCCCTCTGCTCTGCAGACCCATGTGCTGTGTCCTCAGGCAGCAGGTCCCCACTGTCTGCAGCAGCTACAGCATCCCAGATGCCAGGAGTATCCCTGCAGTGCCCCTGGGTTTCGGCTTCTCCTTCATCCTGGAACAAAGTGCATGGACACTGTGCAGCCCTCCCCATCCCAATGCCGCAGTTGGGCTGGGCACAATTCAGGAGCCACTTGTCAAAAGAAATGAACTTTATTTTTAGAACACACACACCAAACCACACAGCTCCTCAGGGAAAACCTTCAGAGCCCAACTGCCACCACCGGCTTCCCACAAGCCTCTCAACCTCCCCCACTCCTCCTGCTCTTGAGGTTGATTGGCTGGGTCACGTGGGCAGAGCCAAAAAATGTCCCCCAATGAGCAGCTCCATGGTCTTAAAGGGTGGGTTAGCAGCCCAATGAGCATCACCACAGAGGAGCCAATCAGCTGGCAGCTGGAAGTTTGCTGGGGCCCCTTCGGCTGTGGCTCTCAACAGCCCTCCCCAGCCCACCTGTGAGCTCCTGTCCTGCCTTCCCTGGTCTCTGGGCCTCTCTGTCTCTTGGGACGTCTGACTGGGGCAGAGCAAGTGGAACCCTGGCTGCTATTTCGAGAGTCACTGCTGGTGTCCCTCAGGGTCCGCCAGACCCTTGGCGTCTGATCCCCTGGGCAGGATCTCAAGCGTGATCAGACACTGGACTCCTTGGCCTGTGGTTCTGGGGGGCAGAGATAGTGCAGGAGAAGCCATGGGCCACACTGGGTCAACCAGGAGAGGAAAAGTCAACCTCTCAAGATTCTGGCTTGAGGAAGATAAATCAAGTGAGTCCCTGCCACTGGTGGGTCAGCTCCATGGTGGCTTTGTTTGACCACAGATGTGCAGTGGGTCTCCTTCAGCTCAGGCAGTCACAAGAGCAGAAAAGTCACCTGGTGGAGGCAGCCCTCTGTATCCTTCATGGTCATGGTGGAGATGCCCTGGGATGTCACAGAGGTCACAGTGGGAGGTGCAGCTCAACTGGACACTAAGGTCACAGAGCTGTGATCTCCTGCTCTCTCAGACCCAGCAGAGGAGCATCCCATTACCAGGAGCTTTTAGTTCCCTTTTACTATTGATGTGTGTCATGGAGGCCACAGTTGAACTGTGTCCTTATGAAATTTGATGACATCTTTGTCAATGCAGATAATTAGGAATCTAGCAGATGATGGGGTTTACTGGTGGTGCCCCAGGTGTGGATCAATGGCACTTTAATGGGAGACTCCCTAGGGCTGGTAGAGCCTTCCTGGGACCCTGAGCCCCAGTGGGACCCCAGAACCACTCAGGACTCCAGCCCCATCTGCCTCTCTTTGCCTCCTGCCTCCTGCCATGTGGTGCTGCAGCCTCAGGAACCTTGGTCAGGAATAGCACCTGGGTGTTTGCACCCTGGTCTCCAGAACCTGCTGCATTACAGCTCTCTCCTTGTGAACCCTCAGCCTCAGGAGCTGCTCAGAGCAGCACAGACTGGACTCAGCCACACTGGTGCTGGGGCCTGAGGTGGTCATAGTGAGCATCTAAAGAGGTGTACACAGCCCTGGGCCTGGGTAAAGGGTAGGTCTGTGCCAACTCTGATGTGTGTGCTAGGACAGTCACCAAGCAGAAAACCTGGCAGCACCCATGGGGCAACTCTGCAGCCTACAGGGTGCCAGATTGTAGAGGTGGGTCTTTCTCCACCTGCATTTAATAGAATGCCCTGGATTGAAGTTTACTCAGGCAGAGCTTTGTCCCAGATGTGACCCCTACACAGAGTTTCACAAATGCCATGACTAGAGGATCCTGGGAGCAAGTCTTCCTAAGACCCCTGAACTGTATGTCTACTAGCTGAAGGACCAGCTTGGAGAGCAGTGGGAAGGAGAGTCCACCATGTGCAGCCTGCCATGAGACCAGCAGAGACATGGGTTGGAACAGCCTGAGGCTTTGGGGGTGAGAGAGGGAAGGACCTTTGCCCAGGTTTCACAGGAGATGGGATGTGGAGTCCAAGAGACCTCTCCTTAACTCCTTTACTCCATGAGTTTTAAAGGACTTTTCCTGATCACCATGTTGTCTCTTAATTAATAAGGGGATAATATAGTATCCACAGAGGAGGAATGTCATTCAGCCAACAAGAATGGCATCCTTTCCCTCCTAGCCCTGGGCATGATCCTGGAACACATGGACCTTGGTGAAATGGGTCAGGCAGAGGGGGACCATCACCACACCATCACTCATGTGGGGAAGCTACTTCATTTGGTCCTTTAAAGAGAGAGGACAGTGGCCCCTGGAGATGGGAAGGTGCAGGGAGGGAGAGGGTGAGGATGGTGGTGAGGGCCATGTGCAGAGAGGGCCTTGTCATGGTGCTCTGCATCTCACAGGATACCTGTGGCCCACAGCCAGGCTGTGCTTCACAGTGACTGGGGCAGAGCAGCTGGTGGGCTCCCCACATCCAGGAGGGACAGGTGATGGACAGCTGGGTGTGCCCAGCCTGGGATCCATCATGGTGCCTGGCACCCCTGTGTCAGGGTGCTGTCCTCTGATGCAGAACATCTAAGATTCACTGAAAGTATGAAAGTACAGTTGGAATGGCCAGCTGTGTGTCTGATTGTGTGGGTTTTCTTTCTCCAGCCAGGAAGTCCAAGGACCAGGGTAGAGGAGAGTGTGTCTTCAGAGTTGCTAATTAAGACCTCAGGACACCAAACAGGAAGAAGATCTGATTTTATTGTGCAGTTACTGTGTATATATATTCAGGCAGTACCTAAGCAGATTACAGGCAGCCACCAATGCAGTTTCTGCTAACTGTCCTTGCAGCGACCAATCCAGGAGTGACCCATGGAGCAAGCACAGGGACCGCACACATGTTCTCAATCCCAGGGCTATGCCCATGGGATAAGCAGCCTCCTGCTCACACATCTAGCACAAGGGGAGTGGCCTGCCACTCAGACACCCTTAACATATGCCATGTATGCAGTACTCCATGCCCCTGTCCCCATACCTCCCCCCTCTGCCTGTGCCACAAGGACCTTGGCCAGCATTGATGTTTTTCATTTGGTTGCCCTTACATGGTTACATAAACATCTCAAAACACAAGGAAAAACTATCACTAATATAAACAGTAGGGCCAGGGTAATAGCATTATAAGGATTATTCAATTTAGCTATCAGGTTTTTCAGTTAATCCATAGAAGAAAGAAGAGGTTGTCAAAATAGACACCTTAGTCTCACTGATTTTGACAGTGTCTTAGGTTTTGCATAGCCATAACACTGTTAGCATCCCAAGTGCCCTTAATATACTTAGAAAAACTGGAGAAATTTAAGGTTACATTTTAAGATACAGCATATTGGCTGACACAAATTCTATGAAACTCAGGGTCACAGTGAGCCTTGCACATAAACATAATATCTAGTTGTTCCTGGTGGAGGTCTGTTTCTTGCTGAATGAATAAAATAGCACCTCAGAACATTTCACTTAAGTCATGTTGAATTAGAAAGGCTTCTGCTGTGGCAGTAGACACATTGCTCACAGTCTGAGCAGTCTGGATACTCTTAGTGAGTGAAGCAGTGGCAGTGGCTATGGTGGTGATGGTGGCTACCAGGTCGATAATTCCAGCAATGAAGAGGCTAATTGCACACCTTGTCTGGTGCAGGATGTCATTCAGAAGACTCTTCATCTCCCTGTTACAAGGTCTCTTCCACTCTTTGGACAGGTTCACTGGAAGCCAGATTGCTGGGGGGCAGTTTAAGGGTAAAAAATACATTTAGCTTTAATATCAGGGGTTAGATAATTTGTGAGCCAGCAGGATGTGGTGACTGCACAATGGACCTCTGTATGAGTGCTATTTATGCCATCAGTGTCATTGATTATTAGCATGGCAAAGAGTGGCGTAACACAAGCTTGTGCCTAGTGGGTATGGGCATAATTTGGAACAAGGGCAAATCCATGGTCAGGGTCAGGACTCAATATCAACCCATTAATCCAGCCAGCTGCTGCCCATTTGTGGGCCTAGCCGCCAGCAATATTGGCGTGATATCCATCATCCATACTGATTTCCTGCATACCGATTCATAATGGCTCGTCCTGTGTGGCAGGTACTGCAGTGCCCTGGTGAAGGCGATCCCCCACTCACTGTCTTGACAGGGTCACAGTGAGAAAAAGTGTTGGCAAAGCCGCTCTCCCACTGTCTTGACAGGGTCACAGTGAGGATGAATGCTGGCAAAGCCACGCTGGTTGGTGGGAAACCAAAACCATGAGACCCTTTTTTTTATGAAATTGGGACTTTTCATTTTCATGCTTATGTTTCTGACAGGAGGCA